CAGAGTGCTATTGGCCAGCCATGGATGTCTGCCCTGCTATGCAATGCACTTAGCCACATCCTGCTTCTGTGTTCACAGAAGCTGCAATTACCAAATTCTACAGCAGCAGTGTGAAAAATGACTTTGCTTTTGAGAATTTATGGGATATAATTTCTGCTTGCATAGAACTTTGAGTGTGTGCTGTTGACATAAAGTTTATAAAGTACTTTGAGGTTCTGGGATAAAAGAGATGACTATAAAGGAGTGTCAGAATATTAATGAAGGTTAAAAACAGAGCATTTGGCCCTATTTCCTTTTTTTAAAATAGAAATTCTGTGTGCAGAGGGAACACATAGGTGGGAGATGGCAATGGACTTATAAGAAGTACATAATAAATAATTTAATAAAAAGATAGAATTCATACTGAATGAGGACATGGCTTTTTGAGTCAGAGATGAGTTTGAATCCTCACTCTACCACTTACGATGGGTTAGGCATTACTCTATAAACTTTACAACGATCAACTAATACATCCTTATAACATTTGTATGGAGTAAATGCTGTTAATATTCCCATTTTAGAGATGAGGTAATGGAGGCATAGAGAAGTTAGTTATGTGCCCAAGTCACAAGGTCCCACAGTAGCGAGTGGCAGAGCCAAGATGAGCCGAGAAAGTATGTTAAAAGTTCTCATAGTAGTATAATGGTGGTCACCACCAACTGAAAATTTACTCTTTCCCAGACTCTATGATATCTTACATACATGGTGTATAAAAGCTGAAAAATATTGGTGTTTAAATTTTAAATGATGAAATATGTCACTTATAAATATGTAGTAGGATGTTTATAGATAAATATTTTATTTATAACATATTATCTTTTCTTTAAAATTATTTTAAGTAATTCATAATTTGGAAGGATAAAAAGTGTATCTGAAGCTTACATTTCTCTCTTAGTTTGCCTGTGGCAGTCATTTGATCCAGTTTTCAGTAGCAATTTAGATTGGGTATGTGCTACATTATTTGCCATTGTATTTATGTCTAGGATATAGCTGATATAAATATAAAAACCTCTTCTAAACATCATTAGATAATAATGTATATCTGATAAAAATGAGTTTTTGGGTAAATATAATGGAAGGGCATAAGTATATCTGTATTTCAGTCACCACAGGCAATCCTGATAAATTATTCTAAAGTAATTTGGCACATTTACGGGAGAAATGAATATGAACTATAAAATAATATTTTATAGCTGAGAATGGCTGTACAAAACAACAAATAGCTCATGTCCCTGAACACCTATGAATTTCATTCTGCATCGTGTGGGGAGTATTGCTTTGTAATAACTTGACGATTCTGCTGAATTCAGCACCTGGCATTCAATCTGAAAATCCAGTCCAGTCACGGTGTAAATGGTCATCACTGCTAATATTGAAAGCAGTTGCAAGAAGAGAGCATGGGGTCAAGAAAAAGCCATGAAAGTGAGATCCAGAGAGAAAGGTGAGATACATGCACAACTTGTCTAAAATAACATGGAGCAAAACATGAAGCGAAGAAACAATGCTTGAGATGGTTTATTCTCATAAAAATGAAGGATAAATGACAGGGCACATTTCAAACAGCCAAAGTCCACTCAGTTTATAAGTCAGAAAAATGGCTACATCTCTGTAGGTGGATATATTTTAAAGACTACAGTGACATTCAAATATCTGACCTCTGTTGTGGATGAAAAATATTGACCCTTATAATTATTTTTCATATATTTTTACTATTGATGAATATTTTTATTGCCTCTGATGGCTTTTGAAATGTTAAATGTATTATAAATGTATTTTAAACTATAACTTCATAGTGCCGTCTCAGCTCTTTCTGCACCACCACAGGCACGCCTCGTTTTATTGCACTTCACAGATACTGCTTGTTACAAATTGAAGGTTTGTGGCAACCCTTTGACAAGCAGGTCTATTGGCACCAGTGTTCCAACCGCATTTTCACACTTCATGTCCCTGTGTCACAAATTGGTAATTCTCGCCACATTTCTTTTTTTGATACATTTTATTTATTTATTTATTTTAAATATTTTATTTATTTATTTTTAGAGAAAGGGGAAGGGAAGGAGAAAGAAAGGGAGAGAAACATCAATGTATGGTTGCCTCTTAAGTGCCCTGCACTGGGAGCCTGGCCTGCAACCCAGGCATATGCCCTGACTGGGAATCGAACTAGTGACCCTTTGCTTCCCAGTCTGGCGCTCAGTCCCCTGAGCCACACCAGCCAGGGCCCATATTTCAAATATTTTTATTATTTTATATTTGTTATGGTGATCTGTGATCAGTGGTCTTTAATATTACTATTGTAATTGTTTTGGGGTGTCATGATGAGAGAACTTAATAAATGTTGTGTGTGTTCCTACTGCTCCTTCAGTGATGTAGTCCCTCATTTCTCTCTCCCCCCTCCCCACTCTTATCTTTCTCTCTGTCTCTCTCTCCCCTTGGGCTTCCTTATTCCTTTTGACACAATGATATTGAAATTAGGCCAATCAATAACCCTACAATGGCCTCTTAAGTATTCAAGTGAAAGGAAGAGTTACATGCCTCTCACTTTAAATCAAAAGCCAGAGATATTTAAGTTTAGGGAGGGAGGCACATCAAAAGTAGAGAAAGGCTGAAATCTAGGCTTGTACCAGTTATACAAGTTGTGAATGTACAGGAAAAATTCTTGAAGGAAATTAAAAGTGCTACTCCAGTGAACACATGAGTAATAAGAAAGTGAAACAACTGTATTGTTGATATGACAAAAAGTTCTAGTGAACTGGAAAGAAGATCAGATCAGTCCAACGTTCCCTTAAACCAAAGCCTAATAAAAAAAGCAAATGCTGAGAGAGGTGTGGATGCTGCAAAAGAAAAGTCTGAAGCTTTCAGAAGTTGGTTCATGAGGTTTAAGGAAAGAAGTCATCCTCATAACATAAAAGTGCAAGGCAAAGTAGCAAGTGCTGATGAGGAAACTGCAGCAAGTTATCTAGAAGATCTTGCTAAGATCATCAATGAAAGTACCTGCACTAAACAACAGATTGTCAAGGTAGATGAAATAGCCTTCTATAGCTTTCATAGCTACAGAGAAGTCAAAGCCTGGCTTCACAGCACTAATGGACAGGAGACTCTCTTGTTAGGGGCTAATGTGCTAGTAACTTTAAATTGAAGGCAGTGCTCATTGACCATGCCATAAATCCTATAGCCCTTAAGAATTATGCTAAATCTTTCCTGCCAGTGCTTTGTAAATGGAAGAACAAAGCCTGGAAGATAGCATATCTGTTTTCAACATGTTTTAATGAATATTTTAAGCCTATTGTTGAGACCCACTGCTCAGAAAAAAAATTGTTTCAAAATATTACTGTGCACTGACAATGTATCTGGTCACCCAAGAGCTTTGTAGATGTATAATGAGATTAATGTTGTTTTTATGCCTGCTAACACAACATTCATTCTTTAGCCCATGATTCAAGGAATCATTTCCACTTTCAAGTTTTATTATTTAAGAGATACATTTCATATGGCTGTTGCTGACATAGGTAGTGATTCCTCAGATATATCTGGGTAAAGTCAATTGAAAACCTTCTGTAAAGGATTCACCATTGTAGATGCCATCACGATCACTCATGATTCATGGGAAGACATCAGAATATCAAAATTAAAAGGAATTAGGAAGAGGTTGATTCCAACCCTTATGGATGATGTGAGGGTTTAACATGTCAGTGGAGGAAGTAACTGCAGATGTGGCGGAACTAGAACCAGAAGTTCAGCCTGATGATGTGTCTGAATTGCTGCATTCCCACAATAAAACTTTAATGGCTGGGGAGTTGTTTCTAATGGATGAGGAAAAGTGTTTTCTTGAGATGGAATCTACTCCTGGTGAAGATGCTGTGAAGACTGTTGAAATGACAAGAAGGATTTAGAATAGTATACACATTTAGTTGATAAAGTAGCAGCAGGGTTTGAGAGGATGGACTCTGATTTTCAAAGACGGTCTATGGGTAAAATACTATCAAACAGCATCACATGCTAGAGAAAAATTGTTTGTGAAAGGAAGAGTCAATCGATGTGGCAAACTTCATTGTTGTCTTATTTGAAGAAGTGGCTACATCCACCCCAACCTTCAGAAACTACCATCAGCAGCCACCAACCTTGAGGCAAGACCAGCAAAAAGATTATGGCGCTGAAGGCTCAGATGATGCTTAGCATTTTTTAGCCATATAGCATTTTTAAATTAAGGTATATATATATTGTTTTTGTAAACATAATGATATGGCACAGTTAACAGACTACAGGATAGTGTAAACATAACTTTTATATGCACTTGGGAATAAAATAATTGTGTGATTTGTTTTATTGTATTTGCTTTATTGTGATGGTCTGGAACCAAATCCACATTATCACCAAGGTATGCATGTATATAAAATAAATGATTTTTGTATATATCATACATATAAGGAAAAATCACTTTATAAAGTACTTTAAAAATTTTTTTGTTTTAGAACAAATCTCTGCCAGCTTTCTGAATAGTCAGCCAAATGAACTTAAGAGGGACAGACTTGATTAAACCAGTTTTCTGATATCAATCTGAGTCATTATTGATCAATATACATCAGTTGAAAGGGTTTAGCGTTATAGATAATGCATAAAATATATTAAAGAGTTAAGTTTGATAAAGCAAAATAAATGGCTATGTGAAGTAACTAAGTTTCATTCAAACTTGTTCTTTATAACATCATTTGAAATACAGATATATTAACATGGCAAGTAAATTTATAAGAGAAAGCAATCACATTATTACATGTGTATTCTCCCCCTTAGTAACACTTAGTAATATATCACAGTATCAGAGAAATGCATCCTAGAGGAAATGTTGCTACTCTTCATTAAAAAAATCCCTGAATCACATTATGCAAAAATTAATTTATGATAAATGATTTAAATCTAGAACTCTAAATAGCTTATTCAAATGCCATTAGAAAAAAATACCTCACCCGCAAAAAGGAGTCCAGGGATCCATTCTCCATGTATTCCACCACGATCATCACCGGTCGGCCTGCACAGAGCCAGAACACACAGGGTCAGAGCAATTGGAGAACCGTGCGCTGCAGTTAGAGGTTTCCAGCTGTGACAGCTAAATTATTTGTATTTTATTAATAGGAATTTCATTTTCTTACATGTTGCTATAAAAGTACTCATTATACACAGGTATCTCTCCATTTCTTTATAGCATTATCGCTTTTGAGTTCATAAAAAGAATATCAGTTACAATTGAATTACAATAGAATTAAGTACCTCCTTTTCTAAAGCCCTGTGATCACTTGTTTGTTTAGATTATATTTTTTTTTGTCCTGAGCTTTTCCTTAAAAGATCATCAACAAGTAAAGTCAGGGTGATAACAGTTACCACAGCTTTTTTGATACTTGTGGTTCGACTTCTCCTAGTGGTGCAGCAGTTATGGCTGAATTACATTAGACTGAGCATTTCTGAAATATTACTAAGGCAAAGCAGAAAAAGAGAAATTCATAAATTCTCCTTAAGAAATTATAAACCATTGGTTATAGACTGCTTTTAAGGGCTCTAAAGTAGAAAAATGTCAGCAGATTGATGAATGCTACAAAGTTGGTGGGATTTGTAATAATGCTTGATCATCTCTTTATTGGACATATATTAAATCAACAGAACAATGACAGTACATGAAAAATAAGTAACTGATTTCATAGTCTAGTGCAGAAGCTAAAATCAGCAACTAAACATCATTTCGTTTTTTATCACATCTATTTGCAATTGTTACGGCTCCTAATGCACCTATTAGGTAGAATATTTGACATAAATAACTGATTTGCTTCAAAGTAAAGAATCTATTTGTTCTGCCCAATTTCCTAAGTTTAAAAGATAAACTCATTTCAGATGAAGGCAAAATGTTATTTACCTGAAATAAACATGTATATATGACACACTTACTTTTTACATCTTTATTTCTTGCTTCTCATGGGAATTTTTAGCAATTTAGCCTGCACTGTGCACAGAGTTTTTCCTCGTGAGTACAAAGAAGATCTAGAAAAAAATTATGTGTACCAGTCATGGAAGTACTAGGTCTCATGTAATTCATGTTTCTTTTATGAACTCAAAACCTTGTGGGTTATAAAGGGTGATGGCAACAAATTAATAAATGTCTTCAAATGCTAGATTTTTACAATTGAGTGTATATTTTAAAGAAAGATATGCTAAAGGTTAAGTGTGGTAATAAAGTTCTCAATTTATCATGCATAGAATTAGAACCCAAAGAAGACATTCATTTTGTTGGATTTCTACAATGCTCCTTAAAGGCATTAATTTCACCCAAATACAGATAAGGATCTTTATCAGAAAATATTGAGGTCAAGTGAACTGTCAGCACTATTGTAGGCAGTGACCCAGAAGACCAGGTTTTAAATCTGAAAGTTTGTTACGAGCTCTTTTATTTGGCTATTGGTATCAAAGAGCTTAGAGATAGGAGCCTGATGCAAACATTTGGTTAGCAGGTAGGGGAAAATAAAAGGTCATCTTAACACTTAAATATAAAAATCTGAGACCAATATTCTGCTTTGAAGTAAAATGAATTATAGATGTTAAAGGAAAATGTTGGGTTACTTCAATGACTGCCTAAGTTTTCTGACCATAGTCAAAACTTTTCAATCTATCTTGACCATTGTGCTAGAGAAACATATTTTTTTGTTTTAATATTTTATTTATTTATTTTTAGAGAGGGAAGGGAGGGAGAAAGAGAGAGAGAGAGAAACATCAATGTGCGGTTGCTGGGGGCCGTGGCCTGCAACCCAGACATGTGCCCTGATTGGGGATAGAACCGGGGACTCTTTGGTTCATAGGCCAGCACTCAATCCACTGAGCCACACTAGCCAGGGCAAGAAAGATAGTTAGATTTTAAAAATATATTTAAAAATATTTATCCTCTCTCTAAGAATATCAGTTTCATTAGAACAAAAAAGTTTGCAAGCACTTCACTTATACTGATACATACTATTATTAACACTATTACACAGATGAGAAAATTGAAGGATAGAAAATTAAGCCACTTGTCTAAAGTCAAACCACTGGTAAGTGGGAGTCTCAGGCAGTCTGTCTCAGAACTTAAACTCTTAATCTACATGTCATGTGCTTCACAGACACTATTTATAGATCAAAGCGGTAAGCTCTGTTAGTCAATCCTCATCTTTCCTAACAAGCCTTATCATTTCCCAATCCATCAGTTGTTACAGTCTATACCTCTTCATTTCTGTGTCCCTCAGCCTTTCCTTTTGGTGTTCCTCTGTTAGGATTACCTCCCACCTTGCTTCTATCCATAATAATTTCACCTCACAGCACCCCAGAATGTATACACTGCAACTCTCCCTTGAGAATCTCCCACAGTGATATTTTCTATAGCTGCATTCCCATCACATCTTTGTCTGCACTATGAAATGTGCATGGTTTTATAGTTTTTCTTAACTTCCCATAGATGCTTTGTATCCCTGTTCACTGGGTGTCTCAATGCCACCTCCCATACCACTGAGCAGAGCAGGTGCTACAAAGAAACAAGATGGTTTTTCTAATCAGTTTTACATTTCCTAAAAAAGTAACCCTGAAGTATTTCAGCAAGATTGTGATCTACATGAATACAAAGTACTTTGAAATTAGTTCTATTTATAGTTTCTTGGGAGATAGTTTCTGCAAATCTAAAATTCATTACTGACAAGTTTAATCTTCTCATTAAAGATAATAAAGGATCAAACCAAGACTCCCTAGGTTTCTTGTGAATTAGAAGTTTCACACCTGAACTCTGCATCTTTTGTATTTTGTCCAGTAGCATCAATTGAGAGCAGCTGTTACTAAACTAAGGAATTTTTTCTTTTTTTAAGAATACTGTTGGCATCTAACCTATAATTTGTTTCCTAGTGGTTTCTGATAGGGAAGTTAGTTACACTATAAAGATTAAAAGCAACTTCACAGTTCATGATTACATTTTATAATGAAGGAAATAGATAAGTCTAAGGGAAATTATGGAAGTTAAGATGGTATTCTTTAAATACTTGATTAGGTGAGAGAATTCATTGATAACTACTATTTTTTTGGTCTTATTTTTTAATATGTAAAAACTATATGTTGCACTATTGCTCTTGGAAAATGCATTTGGAGGTGATTAATGCTATTTTTTACATTTTCAAAATATTTCAATTTATTTCATTTTTTTACAATTTTAGCCACTTACTCCAAGATCCTCATCACAGAATTAACTTAGTATTTGCATTGCACTGATATCAGTGGACAAACTCTAGGATTCTTGAGCCAGTCAAGTCTCCAAGCCCACAGATCTTTTTTAGAAGTCTCATCAGTTTCATTTAAAAAATCTTCAGACTTCTGGTCAAGATGGAGGCATAGGTGGATGCACCACACCTCCACGCACAACCAAGATTGGAACAACAATTTAGAGGTAGAATAACACCCAGAACTGACAGAGAATTTATCTGAATGGAAGTCAGACAGCCAAGAAGTTGAAGTAGACCGGTAGGAGGGGCGGAGAGGAGCAGCAGCTGGGCGCGGGTCACAGCGCAGGTCCCGGGGAGGAGAGCAGATAGAGTTGGGTGCATAAGACATCCGGGGGCGTGTAAGACATCTGGGGCGCACAAGATCACAGTGGGTGGACCCTGAGTATGCAAGCAGCAGCTGGCAGACCAGTGAGGCAGCGATTGTGGAGCAGGGCAGAGCATGCAACCCAGGATCCCAGAGAAGGGACATTGTTCCCTCCCGTCCCCGCCCCCACATACAATGTCACAATCTAGCGACTGGGATGCCCAGCCCTGGTGAACACCTAAGGCTCTGCCCCTCACTGTAACAGGAGCAACAAGACCAAAAAAAAAAAAAAAAAGAAAGACATGTCTCAAACAGAAGAACAAATCAATGCCCCAGGACTCATCATTTTAAGCGACTGAGAGATAGCCAATCTACCAGATACACAGTTCAAAACACTGGTGATCAGGAAGCTCACAGATTTAGTTGATTTTGGTTGCAAATTAGATGAACAAATTCAGGTTACCATAAAAGAAATGAAGGAAAATGCACAGAGAACCAATAGTGATGCGAAGGAAACTGGGACTCAAAACAATACAGTGGACCAGAAGGAAGAAAAAAACAACCAAACAGTAAAGAATGGAGAAATAAGAATTCAAAAAAATGAGGACAGGCTTAGGAACCTCCAGGACATCTTTAAACATTCCAACATCTGAATTATAGGGGTAACAGAAGGGGAAGAAGAAGAGCAACAGATTGAGCACATATTTGAGCAAATAATAAAGGACAACTTCTCCAGTCTGGCAAAGGAAATAGACTTCCAGGAAATCCAGGAAGCTCAGAGAGTCCCAAAGAAGTTGGACCCAAGAGGAAACACACCAAGGCACATCATAATTACATTAGCCAAGGTAAAAATGAAGGAGAGAATCCTAGAAGCAGCAAGAGATAAGGGGACAGTCACCTACAAAGGAGTTCCCATCAGACTGTCAGCTGATTTCTCAAAAGAGATCTTAAAGGCAAGAAGGGGCTGGAAAGAAGTATTCAAAATCATGAAAAACAAGGACCTATATCCCAGATTACTCTATCCAGCAAAGCTTTCTTTTAGAATGGAAGGGCAGATAAAGTGCTTCTCAGATAAGGTCAAGTTCAAGGAGTTCATCATCACCAAGCCCTTATTTTATGAAATGTTAAAGGGACTTATCTAAGGAAAGAAGATAAAAAAAAACATGTATAGTAAAATGACAGCAAACTCACAATTATTAACAACCACACCTAAAGCAAAACCAAAAGAAACTAAGAGAACAAGTAGAACAGGAACAGAACCACAGAAATGGAGATCACATGGAGGGTTAGCAATAGGGGAATGGGAGGAGGAGAGAGGAAGAAAAGGTACAGAGAATAAGTAGCATAGAATGTAGGTTGAAAATAGATAGGAGGAGGGTAAGAATAGTATGGGAAATTTAGAAGCTAAAGAACTTATAAGTATGACACATGGACATGACTAAAGGG